CGGCTATTTTTGCTCTGCCCTTGCTCGGGGCGGAAAGGCAGCATGGGCCAGCCCTCAGGCCGGGCCCAGGGAGCCCATCACCAGCCAAGGCGAAAACAGAACGGATTTTACAACCTTTTCTCCTTAGAAGCGTCTCCCAATTGAGTCACCTGCCAAATGGCTTCAGCAGGGCCCTTGGGCTCTCTACACGCACCAGCACAGAACAGTGCTGACCTGGACCTGCTGGGTCTCACCTTCTGGGATGGCGGGAGGAGGTGTCAAGAAGAGAGGCTAGTGCCCTGCCGCTGGTGCGGCTCCGTGGTTGAGCGTGGACCCATGAACCAGGAGGTCACGTTCAATCCCTGGTCAGGGCACATGCCTGGGTTGTGGGCCCGATCCCCGGTAGGGGGCGTGTAGAAGGCAGCTGATCAATGATTTTCTCTCATCATTGATGTTTTTCTCTCTCTCTCTCACTCTGTCTTCCTCTCTCTCTAAAATCAATAAAAACATTTAAAGGAAGAGGAGGAGGAGGCTAGTAAAGGGGAAAGAGACCCAGGACAGAAAAATGGGAGGCATGTGGGATGAGAGGGGAGCCAGGAGAAGGGCAGGGCTGTGCAAGGAGAGGATCAGGGACACGTGAGGTGGTGGAGCCTCTGACACTCCTGAACGGAAAGTCCGCAGTGCAGGTGTCACTTTGGAACTGCTGCTGATGACCCCCCCGGATGCTAAAACTGGGGGCATGGATGACCTTGCCTTTGAGAGAACATAGGGGGGAGAAGAGGGAAGATAAGGGGCAGGAGTTGCCAGAGGAGCAGGAGCCAAACAAGAGCATTGTTATCACAGAGCAGAGGTCTCTGGTCAACCTGGAGGTGCTGATGCCCAGGGTAGCCTGGAGGTGCTGATGCCCGGGGCAGCCTGGAGATGCTGATGCCCAGGGCAGCCTGGAGGTGCTGATGCCCGGGCAGCCTGGAGGTGCTGATGCCGGGCAAGACTTGTGCCGGGACAGTGATGGCAGCAGAGGGATGGAGGGACGGGGCATGGGGTGAGGGAAGGAGCTTGCCCGGAGCTGGGTGGTGAGGAGAGGAGAGGAGAGGAGAGAGCGGGGAGCGGCTCGAGGGGAAGCACCGGCACCGAGTCCCTCCCAGGGGATGGCTCTCTCCCTCCAGCTCCTCGGTGGCACCGGACACAGGCACCGCTGTCCTCTGCATTGGCCCTCAGGTCAGGGCCTCCCATTCATGTGTAGAACTGGACACATAGAACGTGCTTTCTGTCGTGAGCAAGGGAGCGTCCCCAAAAGGGGTCACTCACACACAGCTGCGTCTCCCCACCGTGGCAGGATAATTAGGGGAGACCTCCCCACGGAGCCAGTAGAGTCACACGCAGGTTACACACAGAGGCGGAGCTTGTGCAATAGAAGCAGCAGAGCAGAGTCCGGGTCGGTGGCGGCGCGTGTCCGGCGCAGTGGAGGTCGGTGTGACCCCTGGTACAGCCAGGCCCAAGCGTTGGGGGTCAGAGCTGAGTTTTTGGAGCTCTTTTATTTTTATTTATTGTTCTTTATTGATTAAGGTATTACATATGTGTTCTTATCCCCCTATTCCCCCCACACACACACTCAGGCCCTCACCCCCTGGTGTCTGTGTCCATTGGTTAGGCCTATATGCTTGCATATAAGTCCTTTGGTTGACCTCCCCCTCTAACCCACACCTTCCCCTACCTTCCCTCTGAGGTTTGACCACCTGATTGATGCTTCTCTGTCTCTAGATCTATTTTTGTTCATCAGTTTATGTTATTGATTATATTCCACAAATGACTGAGATCATGTGATATTTATCTTTCTCTGACTGGCTTATTTCACTTAGCATAATGCTCTCCAGGTCCATCCATGCTGTTGCAAGTGGTAGGAGTTCCTTCTTTTTTACCGCAGTGTAGTATTCCATTGTGTAGATGTACCACAGTTTTTTAGTCCACTCATCTGCTGATGGGCACTTAGGCTGTTTCCAAATCTTAGCTATTATAAACTGTGCTGCTATGAACATAGGGATGCATATATCTTTTCTGATTGGTGTTTCTAGTTTCTTGGGATATATTCCTAGAAGTGGGATCACTGGGTCAAATGGGAGTTCATTTTTATTTTTTTGAGGAAACTCCATACTGTTCTCCACAGTGGCTGTACCAGTCTGCATTCCCACCAGCAGTGCACGAGGGTTCCTTTTTCTCCGCATCCTCACCAGCACTTGTCGTTTGCTGATGGAGTTCTCAATTAAATGTCCAGACGTCTGGTTGGGGGCATTGCAGGCCTCTCCCAAGGGCGTTTCCCTTACACCCGTTACCGCAGGTGCTTGACATAGCGCTGGGCGTAACTGTCACGGCTGAAGCGACCCCATGTCGCTTCATACTTTTTATGAATACTTTTTAAAAATATATTTTTTTATTATTGATTTCAGAGAGGAAGGGAGAGCGATAGAAACATCAATGATGAGAATTATTGATCGGCTGCCTCCTGCACACCCCACACTGGGGATAGAGCCCACAATCTGGGCATGTGGCCTGATCGGGAATCGAACCATGACTTCCTGGTTCACAGATCAACACTCAACTACTGAGTCACACTGACCAGGCTGCTCTATACACTTTTGATGACGATAAGTGATGATGACAATGATGAGAAATAGATTCCTCTGTCTCTGGTCCTTCCCTCTCAGTCTTGTTTGCTGGTTCCTCTTTTCTCTTTATTCTCATTTCTTCTTTATCTACACTCAGATCTCTGGGGGACCTCATCCAAACTTGTGGCTTTAAATTCTACCTGCCAGAGACTTCCAAATTGATGCCTCTCGCCCTGGCTGGTCTCCCAACCCCAGACTTCCACCGTAGGCCTTTGCCTAGCTGGCCCCCGTGTGGTACTCCCTTCCCTTGAGTGTGTGTGTGTGTGTGTGTGTGTGTGGTAAGTCTTTGCTCAAATCTTACCTCCTCAATGAGGCCGACTCTAACCACCCTACACATGGCCATGCCTACATTCCAGATCTCCATTAGCCTGCTCCACTTCCCCCCAAACGCCTTTCTCCCACACAGTAAACGATTTCTTTAATGTTAACTGTATCACCTGCCGGCCTTCCCCCGCTTACTGTAAGCTCCATGCCCCAGGGAACCTGTCTTGTTCACTGTGTATCCTAACACCGTGCCTGGCACAGTCGGTGCTGAGTAAATATTTGAATGAAAGCCCTCTTGACAGCTCTATACTTTTAATTCCTTGATTGTCAGCTAATTACAATGCAGAATACAAGCTTGCCCCACTGTTTAGCAGCAAAAATAAAGTCATTTATGAAATGTCTTCCAAAAACAAGATATATAAGTAAGCTTTGGTTTTTTAAAAAAAACTGCAAGTCTGTAAGAGCATTTCATATGGGCTGATGGGGTTAGTCCTACATTCTCCAAGGCCATAGAGCGAATGTGAACAGTGCCCCCTCATGGCTGAATGTGGAGATGGCTACTTCCTGATGGGCGGGGGATGACTTTCAACCCCAGTGGCTGATGGGAGTTGTAAGATAAATGTTATTGATGATATTTCAAAATGGATCAAATTCAACACGATTTCCAGAAGGCAAGTAAAAGAGGAATAAAGTGTCAAAGAAGGAATTTTTAGGAGTACAGAGCCCACACATTTCCATATTGTGAGGAGGATGTTGACAGTTTGTGGGAAGCAGTAAAGAAAAATGTTAAGACAAGAAAATCCTAACTTGATAACATCCATCTGCTGCCCTTACAGCTGGAATCTGAGCGGGGCTTTCCCATCTGTGCTTTACTCTCAGCTTCAGCTTAACTATAAATAAGACACATGTGTGCCAATTTACAGCCAGCGTCTTCTGGGCCAGGAGCTGTTTAAGGATGTTAGCTATAAAGTATAAATGCATGCCCACACTACGACTCAAAAGCTACTCATCAAACGAGTCAGCCTGCGGTGTGCAGCCAATCTCGTAGCTCGGTCCCGTGACCACCTGGCACTTCAGAGCTGAGGCCTTCACTGAGGCCCCACCGCCCAACCACATCTAAACAGAACCGCAGCTGCACGGCCAGCTCTCCCCAAGGCCCCGGCTGGTCGCCGCAGGACCCTTGGGCCCAGAGCTCCGCACCCGGGACTCCCATTGCTGTCACCTGGGAGCTGCACTCGCTCCTTCACCTTCTCGTTTGATTCTCAAACGGACTCTGCGAGCGTCTATATCAGTGATGGCGAACCTTTTGAGCTCGGCGTGTCAGCATTTTGAAAAACCCTAACTTAACTCTGGTGCCGTGTCACATATAGAAATGTTTTGATATTTGCAACCATAGTAAAACAAAGACTTATATTTTTGATATTTATTTTACATATTTAAATGCCATTTAACGAAGAAAAATCAACCAAAAAAATGAGTTCACCATCACTGGTCATAGGTTCGCCATCACTGGTCTATATGGACGATGGCCCCCTCAGTTAAAGTGGGGAAACTGAGGCTCAGTGACATGAGGTCACTTGCATGACCACGTGGTTCGTTAGTAATAGAGCCAAGCGTCAATGTCCACGCTCTTCCCACCTTCCCCTCTGCCTCCACACCCCGCTCCCAGGGCCTCTGGGCTATAAATAGTGGGGAGGCCGGGATGCGTGTGCGAGGTTAGCCAGGCCCCCGCACAGACACTGACGTCTCCAGCCCGGCCTGGCCCGGGCCTATCCCCTTGGCCTCACCAGGACTCGGGCCCAGACAGGCCTCAGCTTATCACCAGCTTCACTCTCCTGGGTTATATTTAGCTCCGGACCTCAGAGAGAGGTGGGCCAGCCCCTGGGACAGGGCACCCAGGCCAGGTTGTCCCCTTCTCCCTGGGGAGGGGCCGCGGCCGCTTATCGCTGTATCTGTAACACGGCGTGTGCCTGGGGCTCCAGGCTGCTTTGTTGGATGAACAAATAAATGACCTACGTTCATGTCCTAGAAACCTGGACATCAAAAACAGAGGCACACAAGGTCCTGGGGGGACGTCTTATAAACCCAAATGCATTTCACTCTATTCAATACAGTCAAGTTTATTCAGGAATGGACCCAAGTCATCATCCTCCCACCCCAGTTCTCTTCCCTCCCCTGATCAGGCATGAAGGCCACAGCGGGAGAGGAAGAGAGAGGAACATCACATCCCAGAGGGTGGGCTCCGAGTGCCCCACGTAGCAGCCACCCATGTCGGTGGCTCTCGGAGTCCCTGTGCCTGTAGGCGTCCCGACGACAGGCCTCCCCTTGTTCTGTGGTCCTTTACAAGGCAGCCACCTGCAAGAACCCGGGCGGAGCATCTCCATCAGTTCTGCTGAGCACCTGGACCCCCGGGGAGGTGGGTCGGCTGGCAGCTGGGCCAGAGCTCAGGAGCCTGGCTGGGTCCTGACACCAGAGCTGAAAGGGCAGACGCTGGCAGCTCTTGGCTTATAAAAATGGAAAGAGCCGCTTTTTTACAATGTAGAGAACCGTAGCGAGAAACAGGGCCAGGGCCAGGAAAATGAGCAGCTTGTCCGTCAGCTCTCGGCGATTATATTTTGTGATGAGCTTCCGTCCCAGCTGGATGGTCCCCGACATGGACTTGAATTCTTCGCTGGCGTCCAGGATAGTCCGGGAAGAGGTGACTGAAACATAAGAGGGAGGGAGCCCGACTCAGAGGCTGCAGAGCGGACAGTCCGAAGCTGGCCTGCTGGCCGGGCTCCCAGCACGCACACTGCTCTCTGAAGCAAGTTCCCAGAGCAGAGACTGTGAACAGAGACAACCAGAGTGGAGACCAGGACAAACTCCCCTGGGTCTCACCCGGCTCGAGAGCCGTTGTTTCCTATATACAGCGTCACAGGCCACAGCGGGAGCCCCAGGTCGACCCCCAGGGAGAAGGGCAGAGAGGCTCTTCCTCACTGCGACCATGGCCGCCGCCTGCCGCCACCGCCGGGCGCTGCTGAGACCACCCGCCACAAAACCAATCCCGTGACCGCGGACCGGCCCCACGAGGTCCGTATGGGGACAGAAGCTGGAGGGCACCAGGCCCTTTAACCTGTGGGGGCGCCCTGCCAGGACACCTGACGGCCAGGTCGCTCTCTGTGGGATCAGGAACGGCAGGGCTTGGCCCTGCCACCAGCCCTCACACAAGCAAGTCCTTCGGTCCCGGGACACGGCTGTAGCTTTAAAGACGGGGCGCCTGGGCTTGGACACCAAGTGACACCTACCAGGAGGCACTTGTCCCCTCAGGGTCGCTGTGCCCGGGAGTCGACTTTACCGCTGAGTATGGTACCTGGGCCTGCCACTTGGGAAGGTTACCTGGCACGATTCCCCCACAAAGTAAAGCAAAGCATCACCGGAAGAGCCATAGAAGGCAACGTGCTGTTACGTGGACAGCGAGCGTGAAAGAGGCGTGTGAGATGCTTCCATTCATGGAAGAAAGGGGCGGATGATACCACCTAATTTGCGGTGCCATCCCTGCTGGAGACCGCAGATCGATATAGAAGCAACTGGGAGCCATGGGCAGGGCAGGCAGCGTAAGCGGGGGCGGGGCGGGGCGGAGGGGCCTGGGCAGGTGCCGGTGTCCTGGGAGCAGCTTCCCCTCCAGCCCGGCGTTACCCAGCGTCTGCATGGCTTCCTCGCTCTGCTGCACCTGCTGGGACATCACCCGGCTGATCCCCATGAGGTTCTCGGTGATGGTGCTGGACGTCTGCGCCAGGTTCTCTTTGGCGGTTTTCCTAGGAGTCCAGAGGAGGAGGAGGAAGGTCAACAAAAGCCTGGCTGCGGGGAAGCCCGTAGGCAAGGGACACCCGTGCTTCAGTCTCTCGCGCGCATGCCTGTTGCTGCATGTTCCTGGTCGTGCCCAGGATGTGCGGAGCCTCTTATGACGGCCAGCGGGGCGTCGGGCTGCCTCTGCAGCAGACAGATACCTTTGCCTCAAGAGGTCTCCTCCCTGGAGAAGCTCTGCCTTCTCTAGGTTGTCGATGGCGATTTTGCAGGTGAGGTTCGCTTTCCTCCACGACGTCTGATTGCTGGAATCACAAGGGCACGCGTGAGTTTCTGCTGACTCTGCTGGGCTGACAGTTCCAGTCACAGCAGGTCTTCCCTCCGGCAGGTGTGGTGCGGGAGGGCTCGCAGGGGAGGCCCACGGAGTCCTCCCCACCTCCCGCCGCTTCCTCCTCTGTTGCCCCAGCAGTTGCAGCAGCTCAGGCCCCGGCACCTCTCGTCTGGACCCCGGCCGCCTCCGGGACAGTCTCTTACTGAGTGCACTGTCCCTGTCCCTGTCCCCCGGGCAGCCCGAGGGAGTCTGGCCTTGGCACAGCTCTCTATGCAGCCCACATGGCTCCAGAATTCAGGGTAACCTCCAATCCCCAGCGGGGCACACGAGGCCCGGCTCTGCCCAGCTCTCCCCACACTTCACTGCTCTGCCCTGCATGCGGTGGGCTCTGCCCCGCGAGACCATGCCTCACCCATGTTTGCATTACCAGCACCAAATTGACAGTTTCTGGCCCCGCTGTTCAGCCAGTATATGTTGTAAGAAGTAAAAAAATCATCAAAAGGCAGTTTTCCCCAACATTTCTCCAAGGTCTGCTGTTCTTTATGTCCCATAGACAGATCGCAGATGACACAAACAATGGACCAGCAGGCTGGTGGGACATGATTTATTGACATGCTTTACCCGCTCTCCCTGGGAGGGACAGCTCCGACTGGGTGAGTGGCGGCCGGGAGCCAGCAGGGCCGCCTTTGTGGGTGGACCAGAAAAAGCGATTGGGTCCCTCAGAGAACCACGCTCGTGCGCTAGAACGCGTGGGCAGCTGGCTCACACCCACCGCGCAACCCCTGAAACATCTCAAGTCACGCGGAGAGTGCGTGGACTGACAGGCGGTCCTCTACAGCACCCCAGGCTGTTTTCAGATTTGTCCCTGACGCCTGACCAGCGGCTGCTATGCCATTTCATGGCTAATGTTTTAAAAAATCAGTGACCTTTTCAAACTGTCATTAGCAAGGCAGTCTGTGTGCCCCGTGATGCAAGATGAACGAGCAACAGTGCCCGCTCGAGGGGCTCACATTTCCTGTGAAGAAAGACAAGCAAGCCAACATTCACTGTTCGGTGTGACGAGCACGGGCACCCAGGCAGGCCCAGCTCCCACACGCCATAGCCAAAGCCTCGACTGACTGCTCGCTCCTCTGCCCTCGACTCCACAACTTTCAGCCCACGCTCAGTGATTCTGTCTGGCATAACTTGCTGTACATTATATGGCGATCCTCCTTACTCAATGTTTGTCATCTAGTGACCTTGGTGGCCCTGGGAAGCAAAAGGCGTCCTGACACAAAGTATCACCGAGCCAAGCACTTTAGCTCTGGTCACCGCTCACACCTCCCTCCCCACTTAGACCAGCCTCCGGCACACCCACGGCCTCCTGATCGCGGGGTGTCAGAAACACAGCTGCCATCGGTGGGGAGGATGCTGGAGCGTCTCTCAAATCAGAAGCAAAGCCGCAGACAAACACGATGTGGCAGAGTTCGACCACCTACGAAGGATGAAGGGAACCCTCGGGAGGGGCCCCGCAAGGGCTTTCAGGGAGAAGAACGGGCCCCCGCAGGGCTGAGGGAGGCGATGGAGCCTCACAAAGGCTGTTATTTTTTTTTACACTTTATTTTTATTGATCTCAGCGAGGAAGGGGGAGGGAGAGAGATAGAAACATCACTGATGAGAGAGAATCATTGATCAGCTGCGTCCTGCATTCCCCCCACTGGGGATCGAGTCCACAACCAAGGCATGTGCCCTTGACCAGAATCGAACCCAGGACTCTTCAGTCCACAGGCCAACGCTCTATCCACTGAGCCAAACCGGCGAGGGGGCCCTCAAATACTTTTGCAATAAGATCCCTCTTATGATTATGGTACAAAAGTCAAAAGTGAAGGGACAGGTACTGTTTCAGACAATTTTGCTGGAAAAGTCTCCCAATTCAATACCAAGAAATAGCGCATACCTTCAATTACAGAATCAAGCATTAGCACACAAATCACCTCAATTTTATATAACATGAGCTTATTTACATGTTCTTGTTTCACTTTTAAGATAAAGTCCCCTTCAAAACTTTCTAAATTTTGGTCCATCTTAAATAGGTTCACTTTCAGTGGACTTTTTCTGGTACCAATTCTCCTTAGATAAAAAGGACCTATATTATAATAGCAAACGTTTTTTTTTGGTTTTGTTTTAAAAATATAAATACAGTGAAACAAAGCAAATATAAATGTGCTTTTGTAAACTGTGCCCTTTCCACTTCCCAACAGCCCCTGCGTGGCCTCCCCTTTGAGAATTACTCATCTCGAGAGAACATCCAGTCCGTGTGTAAATGACACAATAAGTCACTGACCCCAGGTGCCTCAGGCAAACCCAGGGAGTCTCCCAGGGAGCACGTGACCAGCAGAGGCCACTGGCGGGAGGCAGGCCGCCTACCTGAGCATCTGCTTCTTGTGGTTCTCCACCTCCTGGAGCAGAACTTGCTTGTCCGACTCTTTGTCTTGCTCTTTAGCCAACTGCTCCAGCTCCTTTGGGGGAAGCAGCTGTGTGTGAAAATCACTGCAAAGCCAATACGAAAACCAGGGAGCACTTCTAGCTCTAGCCAGGCCATAAGCAGCACTGGAAAACCCTCCTAGAGCAGGGCACTGAGGATGCCAAACATCCCTTTAGATACAGAGCTGTCGGTAAGAAAATAAGGACAGCCCTAGCTGGTTTGACTCAGTGGATAGAGTGTCAGCCTGCAGACTGACGGGTCCCAGGTTCAACTCCAGTCAAGGGCATGTGCCCGGGTTGTGGGCTCCATCCAAGTAGGGGGTGTGCAGGAGGCAGCTGATCAATGATCCTCTCTCATCATTGATGTTTCTCTCTCTCTTTCCCTCTCCCTTCCTCTCTGAAATCAATAAAAATATATTTTTTTTAAAACAATCCCAAGACCCCACAGCGAGGAGGAGCCCGAGACCTGCGCAGACAGCCGTGAGTGGTGCGGCTGCCTGAGAGGGCGACGTGTGCCTGCCATGCAGCACAAAAATCTGAACAGGAGACGGACCCCACTTAGACATCATGGGGATTAAAAACCGGATTCTGAAAACTGCCCCGGAAAGTTCCTTTGGAAGACAACACGCAGGGCACAGACGTGCTCTTTCTGAGGGTCCAAAGAGCCAGTTTCTCCACCGGCTCTGGAACAGACTGTCTTCTTGGGTTCAGTTGTTGGCTGGCATCTGGGGCCTTGCAATATGAAAAACCTAAGGCTTTACACCCAGCACCACATGCAGGCCGAGCAGGTGCCCAACACCTCTGAGAGGAGGGCAGCTCTCTGCCACCCTCCCTGAAGGCACAGCGCGGAAACACCTACGTCATCCACACCGGTACCTCTCGCTGTTGTGTTTTGAGATGGCACATATACCATAGTCGCATTCAGGAGCGTATATGTGCATATGATGCGACTGGTGATTACAAAACAGAGGGGAGGAGGCTGGGCTAAGCGACAGCCTCAAAAATTTACCCAGGAGACACTGGTGATGGACTGGGGTGAATGGGTTGGAGAGAAAAGAAAGTAGTTCAAGTGACCGCAGAGCTTTGAAGTTGAAAAATTCCAAGGACAATGGCGTCCCTGCCACCGTCTGTCACAGCTGGCTGTGCGCTGCATGCCTAAGTTCCTAGCAGTGACCTGGATGGCAGGTTAGTACAGCTCCCTCCCTGTCTACACGTTTAGGAAGAACCTGGACAGCTCTCTGGTAGATGTCTGTCCCAGGACCGAGCCCCCGTCCTCATTCCCCCTTCCTTAGCATCTCAGTTCTTGGCATCACAGTTCTGTGCTGCTCACCTGTATTCTGTGCCGCAACTGTTGAAACTTCTCTTTCACTTTAGTGTTCAGTTCAGTAAGTGCACTTAATGGTCCTGAACAATCTCGAATATCCTAGGAGACATTGAAGAGATGAGGGGGCCTTTCTCAAGGCAACGAAAGAAAATGACACCATCAGTACAGGGAGAGCTGGCTTACGCCACAGCTAAGGTTGGCCCCCTGACCGTAATTCAGCCTGGTCTTTGCTGTTTACCTCTGCAACACAAGCAAACACATTATAATTTACACTTTTCTCATCCCTCTTCAAATTGATTGTGAATAGGTAACATAAAAGCATAGAGAGAAACGCAACTCTGTCCTGACTTACTAGTTCCTAAAGTTTAACAAAACGCCACCTGGCAAGTATGAAAGCCTTCAAGTAGCTTGTGTATTCAACTAAAATGTAAATCCAAAGCAGATACTACTAACTTGAGACCTTTGGAAATCGGGGCGCTGAATTCCGGGCATCAGATGACAAGATTAGCTTCAATCTGATTTTACAAACCATCTGTTATAAAGCGCAGTGTTTGTAGACAGACTCAAGGGTAGGTTTAGAATTCGTTTCTGGACAGTCAGAATCAGTGGAGCCAGGTTTTAGAGCCAGACTATGCGGATTCAGATTCTGGCTGTGTATTTATTAGCCGTGCAACCTCGAAAAAAAAAAATCAGTTGAGCTCTGAGCCTCAGTTCTGTCCCTCATCGTATTATCTACTGCACAGACCATGCATGTCCAGAAAGCATTTAGCAGAGGAACTGAAGCACAGGAAGAATGCAACGCATCTAGCTATAATCGCTCGTTCTCATTAGATTTCAGAACCGGCCCAGCACTTGGTGGCTTACACACGGGAGAAGGGGAGTGTAAATGTTTGCATTAAAACTTGCTCACTTGTTCTCTGGCTTAATCATTAAATCACACTTCCTGGCAACTCATTCGGTTTATTTTGCATCTGGTTTCGGGAGTGGTGGTGGTAGTGGTGGTGGTGGTGGGAGGCCCTACTGTCCTTCACTTTTTGTCCCAGCTAGTTGCAAACTCTGAATCTACATCTGATGTTTAGTAACATTTATTGGAAACGGAAACGATTTGCCTAAAACCGAGGTTTAAAACTCTTGGTTTCCTTCTTGCTAAACGAAAGGAGCTGTGTTTACATTCCTACCCCTTGCGTGTGCCAACTGGTTTATTGCACTATTACCTTCCACCCTTCAACGCTCAATGGAGCTAACGCACCTCGGTGCCCTGAGTCCCTTCTCGGGGTCCCAGTTTTGCCACCACCTGCCTTCAGCTTCAGGCCTCGCCACTTGACTCGGTTTCCTCATTTCCTAAATCACATCTTTGGCCCGGGTGACGTTCATTTCCCCCGGTGCCGCCCATGCCAGGCGGCCTTGGGGGCCACGGGCCACGGGCAGAGGAGCTGGCCAGCAGGGGGCGAGGCTGAGGCCTCCGGACGCCCCCCAGCGGCGGGGACGGCGGGGTCGGGGGCGGGGCTCACCAGGTGGCAGGTAAGTGTGAGGGGGTCCAGGGCGAGGCGGCGGCCGGGGCTCCCTATGGGGGTCGGGGGGCCGGCGGGGCCACAAAGGGGAAGCCTGGGCAGGGGTGAGGGACATGGGGGTCCCGGGAAAGGGCGAGCCAGCGCCACCCGGATGGAGGCTCAAGACCAAGGGTCAAGGGGAAGGGGCCAAAGGGGGCCGGAGAGGAGGGAGCCGGCCCTAGAGCGGGGCCAGCGACCAGAGAGGGAGACCGGACCGAGCGGGGGAAGCTCGGGAGGGAGCCCGCGGGCTCACAGGAGGCCAGCGGAGCTCGGGTTTAGGGCAGCCGGAGCCCAGCAGGGGCCCCGGGAACCAGTACCTGGATAAGCGCCTTCACCTCCAGGTCGAATTTGACAATCTCTTGGTTACAGATCCGGACGTGGACATCTTGGGCAGCCGCCATGTTGGAGACGCCGGCTACGGGCAGCGGCGGTGGCCAAGTTCAAACGCGTTTCCGCGCCGCGCGGCCTTGCGCCAGCGCCCCCTAGAGGCCGGCCCGAGGCCCGCGAGGGTGGCGGCGCTGAGCCCAGGACTTCCCTCGGCACGTGGCGGGAATTCAGCCTCGCCTTTTCGTGTGGTCCTAGGGAAAAACAAAACGGAGAGGAAGAGGAGGGAACATCAAGAACACTTCCACGGTGGCCTCTCCCCATCTCCCGCAGATCAGCCATTCTAAGGATGACAGGTTTTTTTTGTTTGTTTGTTTTTTGCATAGAGAGGAGGGAAAAGTTTAAAGCCTGGATAAGTATCAGTTGGGATGTCCTGGATGGTGGCATTACAGTGTTTTCTATTTCTTTAAGCTTTCTTGTACGTTTCCTATTTGACAGTGCACCCACATCCCACCTCTGTGGCCCAGTCCCCCCAGGGGCCACCTGGTGGGAAGCACAGGGTTGGCCGGAGGACTCAATGGGATGAGGGGGGTGGGGGGGTAAGCACCCAGCGCAGCGTGGGAAAGTGGCCTGGGCCGGAGCGCATGCGCGCTGGCTGCTATTACTACATTATACTGATATTTTGGAGCACTTCCTGTGTGGCAGGCTCTTTGTACTACGTGCTATATGTGTATCATCTAACTTAACTCTCACGACAGCCCCAGGAGGTAGAATTATCCCCTTTTTACACGCGAGGAAACGGGCACAGGGAGTGACGACTGGCCCAGCGCAAATGGAATTGCCAGGTCCAAGGGCATGGGCATTTGAAAGTTCTGGCCCTCGCCACCAAACCGCTCTTCACAGAGGCCTGATCTGTGGGAGTTTACACTCCCTCCAGCATGCCTGCTTCCCACGGCCCGGGCAACATGGTGTGTTCAACACTGGGATGTTTGCCGATCTGATCAAGTGAAAAATGCCATTTTTAAAATCTGCATTTCTCTCCTCGTGAATGCGGTTGAGAATTATTTGTATTTATTGTCTGCTCATTTCTTCATTGGGTTGTTGGGTCTTTTTCCTGTCAATTCCCGGGAGCTCTTTATTTACTGAAGGATTAGCTCTTACCTATGAGCTTTTTTCTTAGTCTATAGAATTTTTAATTGGCTGTTTTTTAACCTTAGAGCCTGCCACACAGGAAGTGCTCCAAAAATTGTTTAATTTTTGTTTCACATAGAATTTATCAATCTTCTTTTATGACTCCTGGATTTGGGATCCAAGTTAGGGAAGGCCTTCGCCCACCACCAAGAATTGTTTCTATGGTTTCTTCTGGGCTTTTTGTTGTTTTTTTTACATATAGGTCTTTACCAAAATGTATGGTGACTTATTGGTATGAAGTATGGAGCCTTTACCCAGTTGTTCCAACACTATTTTCTGAATAATCCATTTTTTTCTCACTGGTTCGGGATGCCACATTTACATACTACATTCTTAAGTTTGAATGTATTTCTAGTCTGTTGGCCTACCAAGTCATTCATGCACCAAAATGACACTTTTAATTATTATAGTTTTGTGTGTCTTAATATCTGTTGGGGATTAAACACCAGCTGCTTTGCCCCCAGTAGCTCCCACCTATAATTTTTCCTATGTGAACTCATGTTAAAGTTTGTTTTTTTAACCCCATTGGTATGTCCTTACTGGGACAGCATTCAATTTTCTATTTAATGCAGGAAGACTGACAACTTTGTGACTGCTCCTGTTCAAGAACTTGGTCTATCTTTGCATTTGTTCAAGTTTTCTGTGTCCTTCATAGTATTTTCAAGATTTCTTTGGACCTTGTACATTTCCTGTTAACTGCTGGCTGTTATTTTAAGATTAAAACTTTTTAAAGAGATGGAGGTTGGCATTTTTCAGGTCAAACGTTCTGGATCCTCAAACAGACGCTCCCTATTTAGGACAGTGAAGAAGCCTGAAGTTGGCCAGCAGATCTGCCCGAGTGACCTTGGGCCCCTTTCACATCCTGCTTCTTGCTGCAAATTCCTATGCAATCGACAGTCTCCAATTGCATCTCTCTGCAACTAAAAAAGAAAATACAGCTCCCCTTTTCTCCACCCTCCCACACAGTCCCTTCTAACAAAGTGATCCAGTTCTAAGCCCGCCAGCTAGAAGCCATCTTTGAGGGATAGGTATGCGATCTGGGGACCCACAGTCCCATTACAACTGCCAACGCTGTTTTGTTCCCTTCGTCTTTCCCCACTGATCCTGAGGCTAGCTTTTGGTTCCTCCATCTGCTACACTTGGGCTCTGGTTCTTCCTGGTTTTCAGATTCTAAGCCCTTTATTTCCCAACAGTGCCTGCAACACGGCCTGGTCCCTTAGAGATGAACATGAATCGTCTCACATCGGCTGGGTCTGGGTGAGTCCCCTCCTCTAAGTCTAGTCTGATGACTACCCACCTCGCTGGGCCATTGAGAGCAGCCGCTGGGTTCCCTGATGGGACAGCACCTGGCGGGGGGCGGCTTCCTGGGCACCACCCTCGCCTTCTAGGACTTTAACTCCTCCTTGCTGTCTGGACCTTCCAGTCAAGACACTAAAGTATTTCCCCACCAGTGTTTTCCTTGGTGGCTGAGGAGCTCTCCTGGTTGCCCATCCATGTCTGTGAGCTGCAGACCACTCCCAGAGGGTTAGTTTCCTGAGAACTGCACTGACCTGGCTCCCCCAGCTCCCGGTTCCTGGGCCACGGCAGAGGCTCCCATGAGGGGCGGTCTCAAGAGATCAGGTCCTGAAGCAGAACGAGTCCGTGCGAGGCCATGTCCATCTGCTTCCTGACAGGCTCAGTGTCACTCAAATGGAGCAAAGAGGGCTTCTTCCAGGGCCCAGGCACACAGGCTGGTCAATTCTTCTCTGACACCCCGCTGACGTGGCACCTGCGTCCTCACAAATACTTGGGTGGGAACATGCCTAGAGCCCTCTGCGCATGTAACAACTCCTGTGTTGTTCTGCGATCCTGTTCACAGCGGCCCCGTTCAGCAGGCCGGAAGTTCCTGGGGTCTCTCGAGTCTCCTCGGAGCCCAGCACCCAGCACAGGCCCTGGCAGAAGGAGCACTCTGCTGTGATGGTGTTCACGCCGGTCCCGGCTCAGGCTCTGTGTGTTCTTACTTAAATTATTAAACATGCAAACGTTTGAGTGAGAAGAGACTCAAAATATTTTATTTCCCACAGAGAAATCGCTTGCCCAAAGAATCGAAGAGAAATAAGTATAAACAAAACTATGCTCTGAGCTATGAAAAATGCCAATGTTTATCAATACATCTACATAACAGCTCAATGTTCCCCCAGGTCCCCGCTGCCTCCAGCTGGGAATCCCCTTGCAGTGGGTGACCTTGGTAAGCCTCCAAAAAGCCAGAGACAGGAAGGGCGAAAACATGAGGCCAACAATTCAAAACCTTTTCATCTTTTTTTTTTATTTTAAATTACAAAGGATGTTGCATACACAGATGAGTCTGTATCTGACTAGAAGTGCCGAGGGGTTGGAAGGTGACAGAGAACAAAGGCAACATTGGAATTGCCTTTTCTTCTGAAAAGAAAAACTGCACAACTATTAACCAACATTTAATAGAATAAATTTTAAACAGCTCATGCGTCAACAAGATAAAATTCTTTCTAGACAAAAGACAAGACTGAATCCAATAAAGTTTCATAGCTCCAGTTGTGGGGGTGTGGGGTAGGGGACAGGGGAACAAAACGACAGAATCTGACAGCATTACAAACAGGATCCTATGCGGCTATGCAAGAGAGGTGGCCACATTGCATGAACAAACGCTCTGAATTCTTGCCCTTCTGCTCCTCTGTGACTTTTTATGCGCGGTCAGCCCTAGCATCACTTAACCACCAATGCTAAGTTACAGGACGAACCCTAGGGACAGAAGGTTAAAAAGGCAGGCAGTGTAATACAGTGTCATAAAAATGCGCTGGGAAGGCAGATACAGTACACACATACACATTTCTGTTATTTGGTTCTGGAAAAAAAAAAAGGGGGGGGCGAAGGGCAAGACACAGTAATCAGTCCCGCTCCCATCCACCCGGACTTTAATGAATGACACCACTGTGTTTACATCGTTATGAAAGAGGCAAACCTAGTTCACCTAGAACTTGGCACATGGTTCTGCACTGGTCACCGACAAGTCTCCAGAATACTATTTGAAAGTAGTTTTAAGGTTCTATTCCCTCACGACTACCCCCAAGTCTTTCTTTTCTAAACGAAAATGGCAGTTTGGCAGAATTCAGTTCCTAGGTGCAATGTCTACAACGTCAT